TGGCAGCTTCACTTAAAAACAACTTTCAGCAGCAGTTTAAGCTAAGCTGCTCAACTTCACCCTGATGTGGCCAAGGCACATGATCACCTTCCATTTTCTGATTCTGCTGTGGGAGTGATAAATTCCAGCAAAAGGGCAGTAACAAATAGCTTGGGTTGCATTAATATCTTAGACTGCTGCAGCTGTTTTCTAAAACAATGCATGGTAAATAATTCAATTTCTAAGGCTTGTTCTTGCAGTTTATTAACAGAAGTTTTGCTGTTAATTTGAAGGGGACCAAGAACCCCATCCACTTTTCACAAGAGCTTCTGCAGTTCTGCCAGTCATCAAAGCTCAAAAGTCATGAGTCAAGCCCCACAAATTCATACAACTTAAAATAATGCGTTTGGGATTCCTATCACTTATTTCTAACCATCTGTGAGTCACTTCTAAGATCTTCGTAGTGACTGTGACAATTATAATTGATTTTAAACACAAGAAATATGATCTTCAGGCACAAAATAAAAAATGCGAGAATAATTTTTAAAGAGTATTCTCAATATTAGACAATCAGTAATAATGAAGACATGCATAATAAAACATAATTCACATATAGAATTTCACTGTTGGCATTTTACACAAACTCAGTATTTCATCTTATACTTTGTTACCACCGAGACTGAATGAAGACATCTGATGTTCTCTGACAAACATATTCAAGCAACAACATTCTCATTTTTCAAAATGAGGAAACCTCACGTTACACAAAATATGGAAAATTCAAAGATATAATCCAGCATGTAAATAGTGCACATCTGTAAAAACTAAAATGTATTTTACTCTGTTTAAAAATTAAACCTAAGTCAACACTTGCATACTTACTGATTTAAGCATGAGTCATACTTACTATTGTAATTTTTATTTGTTTCTTTACAGCATTTATCTAGCATCCATCTATCTATCTACTTTTATAGTCCCATAACTAGAGTATTAAATGCCTAAAAATTTTAAGGAACACATTCACGTAACTGTTCCACAATTTACGGAAGCCCTGTGCCCATTTTACAGATGGGGAAAAGAAAGAAAAAAAACTCCACCACAACGCTAAGGAACCTGTACCTGTCATACAAAAAGTCTGCGGTAAACCAGAAACCTAGTAATGGCAACATCATCGAACACCACCTCCTTCCAGCCAAGAGACCAGCTCCATGCTTTTGGGAAACAGCATCAACACATTATTTCAATTAGTCTTTTCCACTGCAGACTAATAAATTTCTCTCAAGAAATGTCCTTCTATTCATCTCCCAGAGGATATGAAGGTTAAAGTTTTCCTTCTCCAATTTTATGTAGAGACTTTACCGTTCCTGTCTTAAGAAGTGACCAAGGTATTTGGTTCCATACAACAATGAACCTTAAGATACAGCTAACAGACAGACACTTCAATACAATTCCCATTGGTTTCTCACGGACTTAAATTTGGGCAATTCCTACGGCCCACTCAAAATAGCACTCTGAAAGGAAGCAAACGTTTTACTGGTAACAAAGAACTATTGCTTGTTTGGAATAGACTGAAACTACGCTTGATTAGCAGAACCTTGCGAAGTCAAGCAACTGCTTTCCAGCTCTCACTCTTTAGCTACATGCACAGCGTAGCACCACATAGCGACTTCTGCTGTACCTGAACGGTGACAGTGAAGTTTCTTTTCTGTCCAACTCCATTTACTGGCTTTGTTTCTACTTTTGTTGTTGGTCTTGGGGCTTTTTTGGGGGGTTACCTTTTTTTTTAATCACTATAGCTTGGATTCACATGAACAGTCATGTGTGGGCCGCAGTGAGTATTTAATTTATGCATATTAACTATTTATAGGCTATTGTTACTGCAATTTGCACCGAGACTATGAAGACATCTGATGTTCTCTGACAAACATATTCAAGCAACAACATTCTCATTTTTCAAAATGAGGAAACCTCACGTTACACAAAATATGGAAAATTCAAAGATATAATCCAGCATGTAAATAGTGCACATCTGTAAAAACTAAAATGTATTTTACTCTGTTTAAAAATTAAACCTAAGTCAACACTTGCATACTTACTGATTTAAGCATGAGTCATACTTACTATTGTAATTTTTATTTGTTTCTTTACAGCATTTATCTAGCATCCATCTATCTATCTACTTTTATAGTCCCATAACTAGAGTATTAAATGCCTAAAAATTTTAAGGAACACATTCACGTAACTGTTCCACAATTTACGGAAGCCCTGTGCCCATTTTACAGATGGGGAAAAGAAAGAAAAAAAACTCCACCACAACGCTAAGGAACCTGTACCTGTCATACAAAAAGTCTGCGGTAAACCAGAAACCTAGTAATGGCAACATCATCGAACACCACCTCCTTCCAGCCAAGAGACCAGCTCCATGCTTTTGGGAAACAGCATCAACACATTATTTCAATTAGTCTTTTCCACTGCAGACTAATAAATTTCTCTCAAGAAATGTCCTTCTATTCATCTCCCAGAGGATATGAAGGTTAAAGTTTTCCTTCTCCAATTTTATGTAGAGACTTTACCGTTCCTGTCTTAAGAAGTGACCAAGGTATTTGGTTCCATACAACAATGAACCTTAAGATACAGCTAACAGACAGACACTTCAATACAATTCCCATTGGTTTCTCACGGACTTAAATTTGGGCAATTCCTACGGCCCACTCAAAATAGCACTCTGAAAGGAAGCAAACGTTTTACTGGTAACAAAGAACTATTGCTTGTTTGGAATAGACTGAAACTACGCTTGATTAGCAGAACCTTGCGAAGTCAAGCAACTGCTTTCCAGCTCTCACTCTTTAGCTACATGCACAGCGTAGCACCACATAGCGACTTCTGCTGTACCTGAACGGTGACAGTGAAGTTTCTTTTCTGTCCAACTCCATTTACTGGCTTTGTTTCTACTTTTGTTGTTGGTCTTGGGGCTTTTTTGGGGGGTTACCTTTTTTTTTAATCACTATAGCTTGGATTCACATGAACAGTCATGTGTGGGCCGCAGTGAGTATTTAATTTATGCATATTAACTATTTATAGGCTATTGTTACTGCAATTTGCATAATACCAACTTTGTCTGATCTACATATTGCATATTCCATTGATCTGCTCAACAAAATTAAAAATCGTAATTACAATACTAAGGTAGGAAGAAGCCTACTTAAAGCTGGTAACAATTGGACATAGAAAGTTACGTACTCTTGAGTCAGGGCTAGACAGAGGTTCTTACTTTAAAAACAACCTAAAAATAGACACTTTCTTTAGAAAGCTATAATTTTCTGTATAACCCCATTTCTCATGTTCTCTTTTTAATTTAAGGTATTTGCATACCCATCTACAAGCTTACACCTGAGTCACCGGAACACACCACCACACAGCACAGAGAGGTCTAAGACTGATGTTCCAGTTAAACAACGAAAGAAAAATTAAAGAACTCTTTATGTGCTGAATTATTTATATGCAAATAATCATAGAGCTTAGAACAACAGATGGATGGTGCCTTAGTAGTAAAAGATCGTTGAAAAGACACAATATTTCTCTACCTATAAATTACAGCTTTTCGAAGCTCCTTAGCTTTGCCTGTTAGGTATGCACTATAAGTATATTTTACCATATTACTGTTTGCAATACAATTTTCTAGTTAACCACTTCAACACAGATTGTAAACACTGCTGTGGCATAACACTTTCAGAAATTACATATTTATTGTGTATTTCAAAAAGCAGGAGACCAAACTGTACATAAGAAATGTTTTGCCTTTCTTTTAAATAAACTTGCTTGTTTGATCACTTATTTGAACAATTAACACATTTTTGATCTCCTAAACATGCCTACATCCATTACTAAACAGCATGAACTGCAACAAAGCTCTGCCACAGTTCAGAGCAGGACATGCAGCAGGGTTTTGCCATGCGTTCACAGCGAAATCGCTATATTCACATCCCTAACTCACTGCTAGCCAACACAAGAGAATGGGGGGACAACCTTCTTGATGACCTTCCCACCTGTTGCTGGGAAACATTCTCCTCTCTCTCAGCCCATTCTTACTGCAGAGGAAATGGCAGAAAATCCCCACGATAACACTCATAACGCAAAGGACAAAACACAAAATGCAAGGGCAGAAACTATGCAGCTCCTTTAGGGGGAGATTATTTGGGACTGGTACAATGAAAAATAATTGCAGATGCCAGGGAGCCGTAATAGCTACCCAAACGCATGATTCCACACGTCTGCCTGCTGTTGAGAATGGGTATGCTGAACCAGAATAGAATTAATTTCTCATCTGCACATCAGAATAAAATGGGAAATAGTGACTACAAAGTCAATATTCCTTCCTTCAGGCAGACAGTCACTACTGAGAAAAGTATTCTTGTCCTGTATTATACAGGCACACAATGAAAACTAAAATCTGAGATTAACCAAACACAGGATTTGACATAGTTAATTCCTGACTCTGTGACTGACAAATAATATTTTTTCCTGTATGACTACAATGAAGACTGATTTAGAACATTTCCACTCACAGAAGCTTATGCCTTCTACCACTTAAATTTGTAGTGTTCTAAAATGAAATTTGTTTTTAAATATGTAAAGAATTAAAAAAGAACAATGATTGTAAAAACTGTATCTGACATCAATGTGCAGATATGAGTGTCATCCACGATACCTGTATATGCATACATATAAAAAGGTTTTAATTTCTAAAACAATTTTAAGTACTTAAGTATTTTTTTGAAACAAACAGCTCTCAAACTAACTTTTTTTCCTAATTTTTTGAACATACATTTTCTTGTTTCAGCAAGTTTATCACAATGGATAAAGAATTATTATATTAAAAAAAAGCTATTGCAAAAGTAAATAATTGTCTTCAGAACAACAGATGCAGCTTGCTTTAAAGAACAGGTATTAATTTGCAATGAGATTTTTTTTTAATACTAAATAAAATACTAAGAAAAAACATGTATTTGTGGAAAATCTCCTGTGATTGTTACAATTCTGCTTTGTTTAATTTGTTTAATTTGATGCCAAGTATGTCAGCAGCAATTCTCTGAAAACACAGGAAGACCTATGGAAAAAAATTAAATTGCATTTAAATGATTAAAAACAGACATCCTTGAGGTTCTTTCAAATATATCAAATCATTCTTGAACTGTAAACAATGAGATATACAAAATTATGACCTGTGCAAAACCATGACCTGTGCAAAACAGATCTGAAAATAACCTCATCTGGTACATTCAATTTTGTTTAAAAATTGGAGAAAATAACTCAACAATGGTACAAGGAATGAACAGCATGCTGGATTGTTAAGCAACACCTCTACTCTGCCTCCAGAGACGTAAGTTTAAACAAGCTTTTACACAACCCACCTCTCAACTACTACTCTCAGTGCTATAAAATATGAATAAGGGTATTCACTAATGTTCAGCACAAAAAATATATTACCAGCGTATTGTGCAATAGAGATGTAGGTTTCTGAAATTGAGAACAACAGAACTGTGCATCGACATCACCAAAATCTCGTTTAAAAAACTTCAGCAGTATGAAAGCCAAGCAATGATACATCTGTTCTGAAAAGTCTTGCAAAACATTACGAGTGTTTTACCGAACAGGAGTTATCTAGGAAACAAGCAAGATGGTGTAGAGCATGCACCGGCCTGGCAGAGTTAGACTTTGGACATGGTTTGACAGATAACATGGGATGGCAATGCTATCCTAAATAACTCCTTCACTTCATCTCAATCCAGTCCACCAATCTTACTGCTTAGGCAGCTTCATTTTAAGTGAGATTAAAGAACACAAGAGATGTTAAAGAGCAGCAGCTTAAGCTTGCACTGCTGCTGAACACTGTATTGTCAAGCTACACGTTATATTTTACCTACATGGTTATTCAACTGAGCTCACAATCTAAACTACTAAGAAACATTGCTTTTCATCATGCAGCTGCCACCCCCAAAAGATAAGGCCTGTGTAAGTGCTTTTAGTCATTTTCAATGAAAATTCAAAAAAATACCATTTACACAATCTCTTCTTATACCTGACATGGAAACTAGTAAAAAATTAGTGGCACAACCAACAAGCCACAGTAGCTTCCAAAAGACTTTCTCTTTCTCTTTCTCTGAACTGCTTGGGTCTGTACTGGTCAACTCTACTAGGATCCACACAGCAAGCAAGAAAATCCTGAACAGGCTTACCTTTTCCAGAGACCTACTTTAACCCACACGAGGCTCTCAGGTGTACTGAGCTAGACCACCTGCCGTGAGGATGCTTTGTGCACAAAACATCAGGTGCGAGTTCAGTGCTTTAGTTATGCAATTTGATGGATAGTAAGACAGTTAGCTACACTAAACCTTGTATGAAAGTTTTTCTCCTCTGTTTGGGCTTTTCTATGTACATAAAATTATTTTTTGCAAATGAGTCTGTTGGAAAGATCTTAGGTAAACAAAACAAATCATTTATCTTAACTGAGTATTTAAGACTCCTCTCGTCTACATCCACAGTAGCAATGGATGGCCTCTTCTTAAATCAGTCTAGGGTAAACACCCTGTCTTTCCTGCACAGCTACCCAAATACATGAAGATTTTGAAAGGCCAATGTGCAGTAACAGTGAAAGAGTTAATTCAAGTCTATATTGAAACTAAACATGAACTACTGTGAACTGTATTTCGTACCTTCTTTTGTTAGTAGATATTTAAATGGAGATTTCTGGTTAATGCTTTCTAGGTATGTTCAGATTTATTTTTGTTTTTAAACAGTAAGTTAAAAAAAAGTACAATCGGTGTATATAGTGGGATGCTGCTGTAATTCATGAACCGATTAAAAAGATATAATAAAGACTCCTTCGTAATTTGCAATGTTAAATATATCAACCTTATAAAAAGAACCGCTTTTTCTTCCTATTACCAAATCCCACAAAAAGGTTGTCTCCTTGAGAAAGGAATATATTTTATCAGATGCACCCTTCATTGACTGAAGTATTATAAAATTTTTCTTGTTTCTAGCATAAAAAGCTCGAATTTTCACACTTTAAACAAAAACGTATGCCAAAGATTTAACACAAACTATAAGAAGAATCAGGATTCACTGCATTTGTAACAGCAGTATTGTTAGACTTTACAGAATAACTATTATCTTATAAAATCAGGCAGTCCAATGTAGAAGTTTCATCAGAGATTTTAAAACAACAAATGATTCCATTTGTGTTACAGAATTATACTTCCACATAATTGAACATGGTCTTACTGTTCAATAACATAAAGCAAATTATGTTGTCATAAATAGGAGACAGATACAGGACTGTTTGATGGAAACGACAAAGTCATTAGGCATGTGACAGAAATCAAGCAAAACAATACAGTGTGAGTTAATTTGACTGATACAGTCAACTGAAAAAGAACCTTTTCTTCCATAGGCTTCCAAAACAAATAACCCACTTAGCTCAGAGTCAAAAGATTGTTCAAAAATGTGCTCTGCAAAGCATTACAAATACCAGAATGTTCAAGTTTCAATGGACCTGCAGAGGGAGTGTCTCTCATGGCTCAGGACCCGTATTAAAAACTTTGATCACAACAGGGTCTTGTGACATTATCAACTGTTGAAAGTTTCTATATTGATGGTCTGTAGATGGGACTCCACCTGGACTGAAGGAACATATTTAACTACAGGCTGACAGCAAACAGAGATCCAGCTGGTCTCGGTTCTCATGCTGATGTATAAGCTCAACCATTTCCATATTAAAATCTATACCTCAAACTTCAAATCAGATGAGAAGCCACTGTAATTAATAAAGAACACAAACACTTATACAAAGATCTATTTTTCACGCAAGTAGGTAGGCAAAAAGGACCTGCAGCAGCCGAAGTTCTCAATGGTTTGATATGTGAAGTATAATAAAACTGTTACATCATATCCCAGAATGGCTTGCTAAAAATTTTAAAAAAAAAAAAAAAAAAAAAAAAAAAAAAGAGACATCTACAAGGATTTTATTTTTCTTACTTACAGAATCCCCTGTCTTGGCTGACACGAAATGGCTACTGAAATTGTTCTCCTGACAAAATCGTTGATGCTTGTCAACTTTCACTGTGCGCATATGCTCCAAGTCAACTAAAATAAGTTGAAAAAAAGGAAAAATTACTACAATGGAGCCCATTTAGTTACCTGTCTTAGAAATTATTCATTGGAAACATATCAGATGTAATCTTTTCCTTTACATACGTATGCAAAGACAAGTATCTTTTTTTTTTATAATCATTTGCCAAAGTAAAAATAACTGATTACCTCAGATTAATTTTATTTGCAAAACTAAAATGAAACCACAATTAAGATTATACGGTCAAATGCAACAAATTCATATCTGAAATAAAGGACAAATTTATTTCTGGATACACACAAGAAATTTGTAACAACTTTACTGCTAACTGCATACAAAAACCTGAAAAAGAACTAAATTTTGAGCATTCTGTTTGCAAGCATGATGCATATTGGAGATTCCAGTGTAATCTAAAGACTTTTACAAAATAGAGTTCACCAAGCACATCTGAATCTACGTGTTTTTTCTAAGTAAAAAATGTAAATGAGTTATAAAGAATTTTATTACAGAACATGGTAGAAAAAACCCATTCACTATAATCAAAAAATGAACTGAATAAAAACATTGATGCTTTGTTACTTGTATATGAAGTTTTCAATTCCACAAAGATATGGTTCAGAAAATTAAAAACAGTAAAATGCGTATTTCAAGAGTCACACACATTTTCATTTTTATCATTTTACAACCATTGGAAGCAGAGCAAAGCTTTCAAATGGTATTTTATGTTGAAAAGCACTGGTTGCTTCCAAAACAACATGGAACTCAAGTCTTGCACAGGTTTTATTGTGTACATTCCAGTTTCTCCAAACCTGATCCTAAGGTAACTGGAAACTATATTGAACAGTTTCTCTTTTTATTGCATTACTGTTCCTATAAGGGTGTTGACTCAATGCCGACAAATTATAAGGCAAATATATTCAGAAGGATTTAAGGACAACCAGGCTCTTTGAGTCAATACAGGAAAAAAAAACTTAAACTGATTTCCTGAGGAAGGGACCCAACTGACTTGTAAAAACTTGTAAATTTGCAAATCTAGTAAGCCTGCATAATAGTGTCATTTGATTATCAGCTGAAAAAATGCTCTCCTGCTACATAAAAGGCTTTATTTTAGAATGATATTGGAGGTCTTTAATTTGTAGGCTCTGGAGATTTTCTCTTGGAGATTTTTAGTCTAACAGGGGATTCCTACACCCCATTTATACTGCTTACCTTGGTTAATGTGGAGTTTTTGCCACATATTACTGTTCCTTTCACATCAGTAAGGCCTTGTTTATAAGAACAGGCCTAAAATCATCCAGTTACCACAGGCATTAATTTGTGAAGGACTAAAATACTAAGCTATTAACACTAATGTGTGTAGTACAGTTTTTCATAATACTAAACGTAGAATATATAGTTTCATAAAAAATAGGAAGAACAAATACATTTACTAAGATAAAACCCAGTCGGTAACAATTTTGTTAAAAACTCATGCAGTCTACGTAACAGCTACTTAACTTTTTCCTCTGAAAAATAAAAACCAGAAGAGAGCCTCTGTTGAAACGCTTTTAAGAATAAAATACAGCATACTGCCTAAACCATATCATTTTTAACTATTATTTTTACTCTTCACATATTAGCTTTAAGTGCAGCTTGGAAAACACAACAGTGAGATTACTCTTCTGGGAAAAATAAATATATATCTTCTTTATTTTTATTTGACGAGCTCTTAAAGGAACCTTAACCCCACCTCCAAATTTCACTCACTGTATTTCTTCGACTATACCCGAACTCCAAAAACCTACACACGATTACAATAAAAATAATAGATGGATAGATAGCTTTTACACTGTATCCCTCTAAAATACCATGACATGCTTATGTAAGTCCATAAAGACAAGCTTACAAGTTACAATCTCTCTCAAACTCTCTTTCCCAGGAAGGAAAGAATAGGGAGTGGAAGAACACAACAGCATGCTAAAAGGTTGATGAATTTTCAGGAAGAAAATGCCACTGCCACGTTGGAAATCATATCCTCAAACGCCTCCTATTTTCTATTTGAAGAAACATCAAGAATAATATATGGTCAGTGGAGCACATACTTTACTACAGTAGAGAAATTAAAAGCACACAAGATCCTAGAACCTAACAGACTGGCAGTGAAAATCAAGGTGAAATTATGTTTCTGAATTTTGTGTAATCCTCAGTCCCTCTCCCCACTTACAAGTATTTCACCTTGTGCCTTCTGAATTATGGGCAGTCTGCTGTGAACTGTACGGTTACTGTTATGCTAGATAACTGCCAGGTAACTGTCCATGTGCACACTCTCAGCCCACAGTAAATGCAAGGCAATTCATGTTACATTAGCTCTCAATGAAAGAGGGCACAGTTTTACTACAAGAAAAGGGTTTCAAGCATTAATAAATATTTAACTATAAAAAGTTGCAGTTTGCAGTCAATGAAAGACGACTATGCTAACTCAAATTACTTTGCATTGCCACAAGCTAAGGGCACAATCATGGACAGTTGCCGAAGATCAGCTAAAATACAGTGAATAATTACCCTCCAGTCCTTTTTTATGAACATCTGACGTTGGTCAGCTCGACAGGCAGAATTCTTAGCACACCAGGGGATAAGTCTTGTCCAGCTTTTATTTAGACATCACAGCAAAAAGACTTTAAGGAGGAATTTGGAGGAGAAAAATGATTTTCTAGAAAGATGTTTATAAGGAATGCAGGGACTTTATAGAAAGAAAACTAACAGCTGGCCAACGTGGGCTGGTTTGATGAGCCAATTAACAGCAGGAATAGATATCTTGGGATGAAGGATGATACTAGAATGCACTTAAGCCATGAAAAGTTTAAAGGCAAAGACAAATAAGTTTTGGATAAAAAGAAAGAGAATCAGATACATAAATACAGTTTGATTTTACAAAGCAGGAGAATGATCTTGCAGAATATTCTAAATGACTAGATAACATTGCATTGGCCAAGAATAAGGAATTACTGAAATTAAGATGCAAAATAAGAACATTTTAACTGTGGTAATGGTTATAATAGGCCATATCTAACAAAGGTCTCAAAGAAAGAATCTGCAAGATTTGGACACACATCAAACACAAACATTTAGAGAAAGGCCCAAAGTGAAGTTTACATGCCAGATGGTAAAGTCATCCTCCTCATCTGAAGTGAATGACAAAGACAACAGCAGGGGAAAATTAATAGGTCCATTTTTACCAAGTAGAATTTAAATTGATGACTAGAAATTCACAATGGGATGTCTAAAGGAGACACAAGGATTTTAGTTTGAAAAGTGAAAAGAGATTTAACTATTTGCAAACAGTGAATCTCTAAAGCACACAAATGTTACAAAGCAGTACTGTGGATTAAGTGTTTGGATACAAACTCTGCTATCTACATTAATAAATTATGTTTTCTGATCATGAAAAGCTAATGTAACCCCAAGATGTGTAAATTTTACAGAACGCAGTGAGAGCATTTCTTTGATCTATCATTTCTAAAATTCTAAAGGTCTTAAAAATGGAACCAACAGTAATGGCAGTTAAAGTAGAAGTTAGCAAAACAATAGTTAAAACGTGAAAGGAGTACAAGACCATTGCTAATTCCTTGACTATACAGGAACCACTTAGTATATTTGCATCAACTGGAATACTTAAATAAACCACATGAAAACTGAAATCAGGAGAAGAAGAGGGACATCACGAGCAATGGGGGGGAGAGAGAGAGGGGTCATGGTATTGTTTCCCTGATTGGCCTGATGAGGACAGAAAAAGGGGCTCATCAGCCCCCAAAGTCATTTTGAAGTCCCTTTCTAAGAAAAAAAAGCATCCACAATATGGGCTGCTGCCATTTGCTCATTTTTATGTCTGAAACACATACTAAAAAGCTTGTGTGACAACTACACCTGAAATACATACTAAAAAGCTTGTGTGACAACTACAAAAAAAATCCACGGTTGACAGATATTCTCCAAAAGTTATCTCCGTTGTCTTAGTTGTCCTCTTCTGCAACTCTGTTTCTAACTAACTAGTCAAGAGCTCAACCTTTTGTTTCTCTGGAACCAAACCAAACATTCACCTTTAAGCTTGTCTGGTGTGAAGAGTTATTTCAATTAAAGCTAGCAAGATAACTTGCTGCTCCATAACTAACAGATCTATACACGTTTGTACAGGCAGGTATCCCATAAAGATACTGGCACAACAAAAATACATTAGGAACTTCAGGAATTGAGACATGACTTCTGCCAAGCCAGACAGATCCAAGTGACAAATCTCACCTCATAGATGTAACCAGCATAGATCAGTGTCTGCTGTAGCAAAAGCAGGTAAGGCTTGCTAAAAGACTTTTTTCTCATGAACTCTGGAGAGTTCAATTTTGATTTGTAGGTGAGACTAAACAGAGATCTAGTGAGGTGAAAAAAGAAAACAGAATCTAGGAGACAAGTATGAAACTCCCACAGAAATCCCAAAGATACTCTCCCTAAGGCATTCCTGAAGATGTGAGGAAAAAAAAACAGGTAAGAAGAAAACTGCAGAATCTATGTAAGGAAAACGATGTAAACACCATCATGGTCACCTCTGTGGAGAGCAAGTGACATTTCAAAGAAGACAAGGACAAAACAGTCGTTTCAAGTTAGGACCAGAGAGAGTTGATTAGATCACGTCTTCAGGCGATTTATACAAACCACATTTTCATTATCCTTTGAATTGCTGCTATACATCACTTATTTGCAGTGAAAAGCTGATAGACAGTGCTAACTCAAAATGGAAAAGGAAATCGTATTTTAAATGACTGTCTGCAAAGCTAGATATCAAATGATAGAAAAATTCTGAGCAAACACTTGAGACAGTATAAATAGTTATTCAAAGTCAAATCTCTATATAACTTGAGAAATTAAGAGTCAGTCACTGAAATTTTAGTTTATTGGGTAGTAGCAAGGAAATAGAAAAACACTAGAAAGTACTAGATGAAACACAAATGGGTGCTTCACAATCTACCCACACACAGCCATTCAA